TGGTCCCGAAAAAGTCAGGAGACTGGCGACCATGTGGCGATTACCGCGCCCTCAACAGGGTGACAATTCCGGATCGTTATCCTATTCATCACATACAGGATATTACAGCCGGTCATCATGGCGCTCGCATGTTCTCAAAGATCGATCTAGTGCGAGCTTATCAGCAGATCCTGGTCATCGACGAGGACATACCGAAAACCGCCGTTATTACACCATTTGGACTATTCGAGTTTCTACGAATGCCATTCGCTCTGCGCAACGCCGCGCAGACATTTCAACGCTTCATCGACTCCGTCTTACATGGACTCGACTTCGTCCACCCTTACACCGAGGACATCTGGGTGGCCAGTTCTTCGGAAGAAGAACACCGAACACATCTACGACTCTTGTTCGAACGGCTGAAGGCATACAAAGTCACCGTCAACCCCGACAAGTGCATTTTCATGCAGCCGCGCATTGAGTTTCTTGGACACCAACTGGATTCCGAGGGTATCCGCCCGTTGCAGGACAGAGTCCAGGCAACTCGCGACTTTCCTCATCCAACGACTCTAGTCGCCATTCGACACTTCAGCGGAATGGTCAGCTACTATCGCCGATTCCTGCCACGTTGCGCCGAGCTTATGCAACCGCTCACTGATCTTCTGCCTGGACGCAACAACGGTAAAGTTGATCTTACGCCGGAAGCACGAAAAGCTTTCGAAGCTAGCAAAGAAGCACTCGCTTCCGCCGTCGTGCTTCATCACGTCGGCTCGAACTCTCCAATCAGTGTAGCCGTCGACGCCTCGGAAAACGCAATCGGCGCTGTTCTACAGCAGTTTCCCCAAGGTAATTGGCAATCACCAGCGTTCTTCACCCGACGTCTTCAGACAGCCGAGTCAAAATACAACACATTTGGCCGCGAGTTACTCAAGTATACTCCGCCGTTCGCCATTTCCGTCACGTTCTCGAAGGTAATCATTTTACGATCTTTACAGCGCACAAACCACTCGTCTACGCCTTCCAGAATCATTCGCCCCGACACTCTCCGCGTGAAGTTCGTCATCTAGATTTCGTG